TATATATATGAATACAATAAGTATTTGCTACATCCTATACTACTCATAGCTTTATTAGCGTGTTTCCAATTCTCACTATTTTATTATGAGACTTGTCACATTTGATGTTTGCTTTATAATGCTCTTGTTCCTGGAGTCATGGAATCCCAGCTTTCTTTTAAAAAATTGTAATTTTTCAGTCCTTAGGGTTGCAGAATAAAGCTTGAAAATGTGACCCAAGTGTACCCTAAAGGCTTAAAAACCAGAAGCCAAGCAAAAAGAACCTCAAATTTACCATTAAAATGACCCCCCCTCATTATTTTAAGCTAGTTTCATGATTTTGGGGAGTCCGACTCATGGTTTTTGAACATTTTAGTTGGCAATATCATATTTATGCTTTGTGGTTACTTCAGTCACTGCAGATCAGAAAGCATATTATCTCTTGATTTCTAGTGCATCTGGTAATATATATATGCTCTTCCTTATGAATTTCTCAGTTTTCCATCATATTATCTACCAATCAATCACATCTTATGAATAACAAATTATTTCATGGGAAATTCTTTAATTCTGTCTTAAAATCCAAATTTGAAAAAATCTCACCTCAATTTCCAAAGAAAAAAATGTCTAAAGATTCAATTTTATCCTCATTGAATAAAATTTAGCGGTTTTCTGCAGTCTGCTAAACCCACATTGTAAATGCCAAAATGCATACCTCCTCATCTAGATTACGTTTTATTTACATTAAGGCTGAAACAATTTTAAAACATTTCTTTTCTAAGATAGGGTTATGTTTGTCTCAGATCAGTGCACTTGTGTATTTCTGGCCAGAAGAGTGGGATGTAAAAGACTAGATACTGTACCTACCTGGAGATTTCTTTAAAAAGAAAGCATTTGTTTTATCCATGTAGACATATGAAAATGAGGGAAGCATCCCAACAGGCCTTGTGGAAGGCATTTCACGCATGCATTAGAAGATAATCACTAGTGAAATACTGTGTATTACTCTGGTGTCCACACTTGGAAAAACATGTTAAAAACTGGAGCATATTTTAGAGAAGAGCTACAAAAATTAGTTGAGGTCTGAAAAATATACCTCACAATAGAGGATGACAATCTATTCAATTCATCAAAGGAAATAAGGAGGCAAACTTGATCACAGTCTGCAAGTACCTACACAGTCAGAAGATAGCTGATATTATTAAACTAGCCGAGAGAGGCATTTATAAATGAAATGGCTTGAAGTTGAAACTAGAAAAATTCAAATTTGAAATAAGATGCAATTTTTAACAATGAGGGTCATAACTCATAACAAATTACTCATGAGAATTCATCATCACTTGGAGTCTTAAAACTGAAACTGAATGTCTTTCTAAAAGAAAAGATGTAATTCAACCACAAAGTTATTAGACTCAATAGTATTCACTTAATAAATAGGGTTCACTTATGTAGGAGAGAAGAACAGTTTCCTTCACTCCAGGAATTACTGGATGAAATTTTATGACCTGTGTTGTGCCGGAGGTCAGACTAGATGATCATAGGGAGCCTTTCTAACCTTACACTTTAGGACTTTATTACATATTTAATTCAAACTCAAAAGATGCCTTTTAGCACAGCAACTGATTGTGGAAAAGAAATTCAAATCACTTCAACAAAATCTAACTAATGCCCCCCACCCTCCAAAAAAAGTTCAAGCTGAATAAATTCAATTGCAACATTTACAAGCAAACGAATTACTGCACACTTCATAGACTTAATATTTTTCTTCGGTTTTAGAACCAAATGGATCCAGACCTACATTTAAGATGTTCTATATGTGATTATCAATCACCCTCAGTCATACACTGTTTGTAGAGCTGTTTTTATATACCCAATTTTGGGCACTAAGTCACCTTTTCACATTGGCCATTCATTCAGTTTTTAAACCATTATTGCACGCAGTTGGATGGGACCAACTCAATTGTATTGACTTAGACACAATGCCTTTAGTGGGCAAGAGGATTATCCTAGGTCTATTAAATATACCAATGAAGCCCACATTACTTATGTGGCAACATTAAGCCTATAGCTGCCTTGAGGTACACGAATCTCAAAATTCTGGCTGAATTAAATAAGCTTCACAACTCTCCTTTTCCCTCCCTTGCAACAGTACATGCAAACATGCCCATTTTTCTAACTGATGACTGGTTCAACATCAGACATTTGAATTCTGTAGCATCCATATGAATGGTCTGTTCCTTTAGGCCTCCTGTACCTCTGAGTAGCACAGGGGCTGTGAGATGACGTGATCAGGACTGTAATGCACATGAATTATTCATTGCTGCATGAAGTTCCGAGCTCATAATTTAGTGCTCCCCCATATAACAGATCACAAATGACTTCGTTTCACTATAAAATCTTTCCACCATTAATAAAACAAACCTTGTCAACTGAATTTCCTACAGCTGTGCAACTAATGTTCAAAATATGTATGTCTAAATTAGGATCTACACTTGAGCATTAAAATTGGTATTTGAGAGGGTATATAAGTGCCTATTTTAAGAACACAGTTTGGACACTGGACCCAACTATAAGGCCACACCTTCTAACTATAAGGTTAGAAGCCACACCTGTAGTGCTACCAAGCAGCTGACATCTCCAGGCTACCACCCAGCAGCAGCTTAACTAGCTTGCGTGCCACTTCCCATGAACCCACTGAGGACACAGCCCATGGGCAGTTCCACCTCAGCAATTTGACAAACAGCAGCCCCATGGCTCCTGATTGTCTCCCTGCCAGATATAAACCCAAGGAGCATTCCAGTAACTGTCCAGGATACAGTGTGGATCTCTGGGGCTGCCATGATTGTTCTTTGCTCTTGAACTCCTGGCTTGATTTGGACTTTGCCTCCTGACTTGGAACCTGAAACCTGACTCAGACTCAGACCCTTAGTATTGGCCCTGGCTTGGACCTGACAATGAACTCCTCTGCTACTTCCGGCCTCAGGTTTGTCCTTTCCCCTGACTGCCCTTATTGGGATCCTGACTCCAACCCTCAGGTCCCCTCTAATGCCCCAGAGCCACGGGGAAGCTGACATATGATAACTGACTCCTGGAGGATTCCTCAGGAATCACAGGTGGCACAAAGCCAAAGTAGCAGCTCTACACCACTACCCTCCCAACATCCCATGTAAGAGTTCATTCTAGGAGAAATTGAGCATGGCCAGCAAGTTCCTATATCCAATAACTCCCCAGGTGCCTGACTGGCTCCTTGGAATTACGGGCAACTGTGCATACGTTACAGAAGCTTTGAGGCTACTGTAAATTATACTAGAAACCAACCTAGTCACTGGAGTAAAGCTACCTCTGCCCCGGTCTTTATGTTGTTGCTATGAATGTATCTCAGTTGCAACAGAGGATCTAGACCTCTAATTTAGGTATCCAAGTTCTTAAGATGGTTGTCTTTCTTGTGAATCCTAAGAGGTGCTGGAGTCTTTTACTTTTTCTCTCACTCTCTCAATCTTTGAGTACATTAACAGTTACTAATGGAGTTCAAAATGACTCTTTAAATCAATCATGTGAAATGTTAAAATAGTTTACATATATGACCTTTGAAGCAATATTAAAAACATGAAGTATTATTTCATTAGTTTGCACAATATCCAGAAATTATAGTTTGTTTGATGCAGGGCTATTACACAGAATCTTATCAACAGAAACCATTATATAAGCCTCTGTTTTCAATCTAGAAATCCTGACCAAGTTTTCTATTCTGTAGTCCCATCTTTCCATATACTAGTTCCATAGGAGAAGCAACTGAGGGTAACGGGTACATTAAATTCCTCTACCTCAATTCTGTATCCTTCCTCATGTCCAATATTCTCTCCAGGCCAGCCAGCAGAATCCATTAATTGAACGTATTAGTCCTGAACCACAGGTGACAATGCATATGTAAATCATTATATAAACGACAGCTTGTTGAAAAATTTTGTTCTACCTTTGAGTCATCATGGTGTTACTAAACAGAGACATTCCTAGATATCATGTGTCGAGAGCACATGATGCACTCAAGTAATTAAATTTCATTATGAATTCTCAGGTCTCTGCGGCCAGTTTGCTAAAAATGATACTGGCTCTAGCACTGGCTCTGTTTTGTACGAAGTTTAGTTTTACTGTGTTTTGTGGCTGTATTTTATTTCATTCAGACTTTAAACTTTTACACTGTTACCAGTTTGGTTAGCAGTCTGTCTTGTTACAAACTTTTCTGATTCATACCTTATATATAATATAACACAAACTAATGAAATAATACTTCATGTTTTTAATATTGCTTCAAAGGTCATATATGTAAACACTCTGTCTTGTTACAAACTTTTCTTATATATAAGGTATGAATCAGAAAAGTTTGTAATAAGACAGACTGTTTACATATATGACCTTCGAAGCAATATTAAAAACATGAAGTATTATTTCATTAGTTTGAATTATATTATATATAAGGTATGAATCAGAAAAGTTTGTAACAAGACAGACTGCTAACCAAACAAGTTTTATATATATATAACAGGACATCCTCTATTCCCCTAGCTAACAGAATAATTTATAATAGATGACATACCAGCATCATGAAATTGGGAATAAGATGAGGTAGAATATTAATGAAATCTCTGTATGTAAAATTGTCCATCTGATCACATTTATCTCTCTGCTACATTCATTTGCACTCAGCTAGGACTTCAATTTCTATCAGCCAAGCTATCATACATTGTGATCCCTCTGCTGGATCATGAAACATCTAATTCAAAGCAGGAACAAGCGTAAGAAAAGTAGAGAACATCTACATGAAAGAACAGCTTTTATGCTCGGAGTTTCTATCTACAAAGTATTTCCAATTATTGTTATTGTGTATTTAACACAACAACAAAAACAATTTTTAAAAATTTAAGATATTAGGTCACCATTTAACTTAAATACATTTCAAGTTCATTAAGAAATAAGCCTTATCCAGATATTAAAAAATTACCATAAAACTCAGCAAACCTTACTTCTGGTAGAGGACTGGCCGGTTTGGTGAGGATTCCTCCCACATAAACAACATTTGGTAGCGTCGGTCTTGGAAACTCTAGTGCTATATCTGTACACAGCATCCACAGGCTGGAGTCATGAACCAAATCATGCATCGACCGCTCTGGCAGCACTTTGTGTTTCTGCATTATCATTTCATATTTCGGCAGAACCAAAAAATTGACTCCTAATCTTGAAACCAGATAAATAACAGTGTTTTTAATCCTGTCTAGAAAGTTCATATGATCTGTGAGAAGTGAGTTAAATTCTGGAACGTAAGATAAAGGAGCCGGAGCACCTACTTCTGCTGGATACCAAAGGCCAGTGGAAAAAACAGCATATTTAACACCTAAAAGGTGAGCTATAACAAACCCACACATCTCATTAGGATCCACTAGCAAGAGGTCAAATTTTTCCTGTTTCAAGGCATGCATTAGGTTCTGGTTGCCCACAATCATGTCACAGTTCTTAGAATAATGATCCAGGATGTCAAATAGTTCCAGTGCTGTCAGTCTTCCAGAGAAAATACTCCTCATTTTGGACTGAAGAAAATCATCCGAGGTGCTGCTATTAAAGATCCCTGGGTAACGTTGGAGTCTATAGTGATTAGATGGAGGGATGTGTCTGCCCTCAGAGAGGAGGAACACTGTCTGGTGACCTTGCTCATGCAAGGCTGAGGCCAGGGCCTTGAAAATATACAGATGGCTTTCAAACATAATTGGCGGCACAACAACGATTTTGGCAGCCCTTGCTATCCCGACAGCGCCCCACAGGAGAATGAAAACTGGAGTGTAAGACTTCATAGCTGAAATGACAAAAGAAAAAAAAATATTGCAACAGATTTCAATCCCACCTGTTGTTTAGAGTTTGATAAACAAACATTACTTGATAACATTTTCAAGTCTTTGCCAGGATAACCTTTAGTACCATTTTATCCCAAAGTCTTTTTAGTAGCATTCACTGGGAACAAGATAGCTACTTAGTTAAAAAAGAAGCAGGTGTTGTGTTTAGTTTCTTGTTGGGCTTTAATTTTTTTCTCTCTCTCTTTTCCCTTCTCCCCTTCCATCTGGTTATACAGGTGGGCAAGCAATTTCTTCTGATACTGATACAGTTCCTGTATTATATGGCAGGAAAGCTGATGAGGACAATGCAGCTGGTACCTTCCTGCAAGATACTGTGTGCACGGCTTCTGAATTATACATGGTATCCAACAGCAAAGGGAAACAAGAACTTAGTGTCCTCTGAAACCCAGATCGTCCTAGGCTTTGGAGCACTAGCATGACTGCAGCCAGTTCATGTTAAGTATTTTGGGTGAATTTAATATTCATAAAGGATTCAAAGACCTAGAGGCTAACCTCCTCTGTTTATCTACATAACAGGCACAGCTTGTGTAGTAGCACTACAATCTTCCCCACCAGCATGCCTCAACCCTGTATCTAGAAGCACCATCTCTGCCAATCCATCCTGATTCTCTCAATTGAGAATTCCAACAATTCTGATGGTGGATTTTGGGAATGTGCACTCATTACCATTTGAGCAACAGTGCCTCGAGTGTGTTTCCATTGTAAGCTCATGTTGTCACAGTTGCCCATAGCCTTCAAAAACGTTCTCCTGCATTTTCCAGGCCTGACCTCTGCTGAAGGTGACTTTATATTTTTTAGTTTTTAAGTTTGAGACAAAAATGGTTCAAGCTTTTCTCCGTAGGTGGAGAATATGAAAACTCACATACAAACTTTCCATACATGTATTAATGTTATCTTTTAACAAAGTTATAATCCAAACAATAGCCCTCCCTGAAACAGAAGTACCTGTGAGTGTTGCAGCAAAACTGATTTTGATATGACTGAATTCTGAGCCTTTGAAAGTTATACTTCACATGAGTACAATTGTTATGCTTGTTCGAAATTTGTAGTAACATAGGGAGTTGAGATGTGCAAGTTTGCATTGCTAATTTAGTCCTTGATTCAACACATCTCAACTCCCCATGTTACTTCACTCTGCATGTTACCACAAATGTCAAACAAGCATAACAATTGTACTCATGTGCGAAGTATGACAATAAGCATGTGCTTAAGTCATCCTTATTCAGATCAGCATTTAAACAAACGCTTAAGTCCCATACACTTCATATGGAACAAAGGGGCCAGATTCTGGCCATAAGTGGCCAATAGAAAATTCCTGGGGTGTAAAGG